GGCTCAAGTGGTAGAGTGCTAGCCTTGAGCTGAAGAGCTGAGGGATAGCGCCCAGGCCCAGAGTTCAGGCCCCATGACTGGACCCAAAAACAAAACAAAACAAAACAAAAAAAAAAGGAGCTCAGAGACAGCACCCAAGCCCAAAGGTCAAGCCCAAGACCAGGAAAAAAAAAAGTAAAAATAAAATATATAATAAGTATATATATAAGTATAATCTATGCATATATAAAGAGAATACACTTTCTGCTCACCTGTTTTAAATGCTGCAACTCCTCTTCTTGCTCTTTAGCTTTTTTGTTCAGCTTTGCAATAGTATTTTCACTGTCTTTGTCTTTAATTCTTAATTTCTTAATGATATTAGAATTATGTAGCTGCTGCTTTGAAAGTTTTTCTCCTAGTAATGATTTTTAAAAAAGGATAAATCAAAATAATTATTTCTTAAGAATCTGAATAGAATAGTTTATCTAACTAATGACATGAGAATTATTTTATATCATAATTTTTTCAAGCCCTAAAGTTAACAGCCATTTAAGCAGGAATTACCAATAAATGCCAAAGAAAGAGGAAAGCGCCAGTCTTAAAAAGGGTCAATTTCCACCTATAAGTATGTATCACAAAGGGGAATATGTGCTTTCACAACAAAATCTAGCAGCCACCAACATACCTGGGAACCAACAGTGATACCACCTGACATTCTGTTTCTACTGATGTGATACAGTGGTGGATATACAATATGAATTACAACACTTCTTACCAGAAAGTTGATGAGTAATAAAGAAAAGTGACAAACTGGATATAGCCCATTCTGTAAAAGTATTTTTGGAATTCTACCAAGTATTCAGTGTCATGAAAAGAGAGAACTAACCACAATCAAGAATCTAATAGCTGCCAGATACCCATGGCTCACATGTGAAACCCTAACTGCTCAGGAGGCTGCGATTGAGGATCATGGTTCCAAGACAAAGCTGGGTAGGAAAAGTCCATGATACTGTTATCTCCAATTAAAAAACACAAGTGGAGCTATGGCTCAAATGGCAGATGGCTAGCCTTGAACAGAAAAGCTCAGGGACAGAGTCCAGACCTGGACTTTAAGCCCTAGGACTAGCAAACGCGCACACATGTAATAACCAAACACCACAGACAACCTTTAGCTGGATCCTAGAGTAGTACAAATGGCCACCTATAAAAGGTATTTTAAGCCAGGCATGCTGGCACAAGCCTGTAACCCAGTATGCAGGAGGCGGAGGAAGGAGGATCTTAAGTTTGAGGACACCCTGGCCTCACAAGTTCAACCTAAGCCTGAGTAACAGTGAGACCTTGTCTCAAAAACAGAACAAAACGACATTTTACAGACAACTGAGACAAATGATGGAATGTATGATGGATCATACTTCTAAACTAATGCTGATTTTCCTAGGTACATTTATGGTCTAACACTTGTGATAGAAAATGCATTTGTGCTGGATGCTGGTGGCTCACCCCTGTAATCCTAGCTACTCAGGAGGCAGAGATCTGAAGATCACAGTTCAATGTCAACCATCTCCAATTAACCCCCAGAAAAACCAGAAGTGGAGCTGTGGCTCAAAGTAGTAGAACACTAGCCTTGAGCAAAAGAGCTCAGGGACAGTGCCCAGACCCTGAGTTCACCCCTCCCCCCAACCAGGAAAAAAAAAAAGCATCTGTCATGTGCCAAGTAGCTCTCCTACTCTTATGGTATTTTATAATCATAAACAAAATATGTACCTTCTTCCATTAATCCTTGAATCTGTTCATCTTTCTCTTTTAAAAGGTCTGCAGTTTCACTACTATTTAATCTAGTAGCAAGTTCTTCTTTCATATTTTTTATTTCCTAATTTAAAATTAAAAAATAAAATATAATCAGTGACTAAAATGAAGAAAGTATGTTACCATTTTCCTCCAGACTGAAAAAGCCATACTCACATACTCATAAATAAATCTATAAATATTGCTCAGTTAACTTACTGCTTTGGTTATTAAGACTAAGAGCTTTAAATATTGCACATAAAACACACATTCAGATATATCAGCAGGTCTTAATATGGAAATGGAAATGAAAATAAGTTAATTTTTGCTACCTTTCTTCAGAATGTATATGTTCCATAGGTTAAGCATTACATTTAGAACAATAGTACCTAGAGACAGATAGGTTTGTTGATTAGAAAGTAGTTTCACATGATTGTTAAAGCCAGAAATGAATTATTAAATCAAGCTTTAATTTATTCTCCTTTCTGTAGCAATCCACATGGGAAAATTATAAATTACTATTCACTTTGGCAAAGAAATAGGAAAACAACATAATTGAGAAAGGCCAAAAGCAGAGACAAAGCTATCAGTAACAGTCAGGACCTGAGCTATCTTACTTAGTTATTAGCAATTTCTAAAATAGGTAACTATCCCAAATTAGAAACATTAAAACAACAGATTGTAACCAGGAATGACTTTGCTCCATGATGACATTTTGTAAAAGCTAGCAGCTGAGGTGGGAGAGGGTAGTACTGGAATGTAATGGGTAGAGGCCAGGGATGCTGTTAAACATTCTACAACAAACAAAAAGAACAAACCCAGGGCTGGGAAGGTAGCTTAGTGGTAGAGTGCTTGCCTTGCATGCCTGAGACCCTGGGTTCAATTCCTCAGCATCACATAAGCAAAAAGAAAAAAGCCGGAAGTGGCGCTGTGGCTCAAGTGGTAGAGTGCTAGCCTTGAGCTGAAGAGCT